ACCTGCAATGGCGAAATTTTTCCAGGGATCCTCATTCCCTGCCTTTGAGAGTAGTGCCAGGCGTTTGGAATAATAAGGCTGACGGCGTTTTAATTCTGCTGCACTACCTCTGAACATCAGCGACAGAAAATCGCCATAGTCTGCGAGATAGGTGGCCATCAGGTTGTCAGGGTTGGCGGCAAATTCATTCCGTATCAGCTCATCTCCTTCATTGATCTGTAAGGAAGTATAAGCCTGGTAAGCCTGCTGGCAACGGCTGTTATAGTCAAAGACGTAACCTGCTGCATGGGTATTGCTCCATACCGCCATCAATAAGATCAGGAAGATAAAACGGCTCCGGATCATCATTTTATAAGTAACAAGGTGGTATCTGCCAGCAAGGAATCGGCCCGGTGAACAGAAAGGTGCTGAATGATAGAATCATTTTTGTGTCTGGCTGCGTCTGTTAGTACAGATACTTTCGCATTGACAATAGAATCTATTTTGGCGGTTGCTTCTGCAGCAGAATTATCTGTGGCACAGGACGAGCATGCGAGCAATAACAAGGCCGGGAACAGCAGGCTTCTGAAATGAATCTTCATGTCTTGTAGTGGGGCGTAAAATTAATAGAAAAAAACCACCCCGGATACGGAGGTGGTTTTTTTCAGGATGATATGATTTGCTTATTTAGCGGCTTTTTGCGGGCTTGGACAGCAGATCCTTCAGTTGCTTTGCCAGTTCATCACTGGGGTTCAGGCTGGTGATCTTGTCGATATAAGCCAGGGCCTGTGTCTTATTGCCTTTATTGTAATTTACCAGTGCGCTGTAGCGATATACTTGCAGCAGGTCACTCTTTTTATCGGAACTGGCACCTACTTTTTCCAGCCATTTTTCATAGAATGGAAGGGCTGCGCCTGTTTTACCTTCATTGTCTTTAGCTGCAGCTACACGTCCGCGCCAGTACGTTCCGGATTCTTCAGCAGGAAACTTGGTTTCCATTTCTTCAAAGATACGTGCCGCTTCATCGTAGTTTTTAGCATAGTAAGTCATAGTACCATACCAGAAATAATCACGTGCAGAAGGAGTGGCGCTCGCTTTTACGA